GGATGATTCCTGTGCTAAGTTTAGCGGACTCTCTGAAAATGAAAAACTTTCCAGGTATCCACTAGTTACACCCCATAGGCAGCAGGAAGTTATAAACAAGACAGAGCGCATGTTTGCTTTTGCTTATTTCATCGCCCCTTTCTCTCCTCTTCTGTTCCTTTGGTCTTTCCTCCTTGCTTATGTTTCCTTCTCAACTTTGTTTGGGTTGTTAGTTAGTGTCCTGCCCGGATTTTCCTTTCTCTCCTGTCTCTCCTTACTCCTGAGGATGGTCTCCCTTGACTAGGGTCTCACTAATACATGTGTGTATTTCAGTGCATGCTCTTTCATGTTCCAGGAAATTTGCCAAGTACTTCCACAAATACAAACATCACATTGCCCATGAAAGAGGGCTTCCTTTTCTTGTTTGGTCACACCACTAACATTTTTCTTTTCTGATTGCTTCCAGAGTGAAGCCTTTACTATATTCACCACAATCTGGTTACTATTGATCTTCAGAATTTATTTTGAGCTTTAGAAATCTGGAGTCAACAGCTTTTTATTTTTGACATCTTAGATGTCAAAATATTTAAAATATTTTTTCATAAGTTCTAGTGTGATTATTTAAACCGTTAGCATTTTTACTGGACTGGGCATTTAGGATTTAGCTTACCTCTGTTCCATTTATTTTCTGCATACTAAAATGGCTCAACCTAAATAGTACATAGTATTTCCAGAGTGTGAAATTGACAACTGGATTTCCTTGAGGATCGATTGTCAACTGGCCGATGCGACGGAGTTGCGCTAGTGCATTAAACTGCTGCAGCATGACAAGATTTGTCTCCTTGAATTTAAGGTGCTGCGATCATAAAACACACAGTTAGTCAGGTCCCTTAAAACAGTCACATTACAGCTTCACAGATCATTCCCCTCGGTCCATCTATAACTTTGAGGATTAAATAATATAATATGCTTTTTAATGAGATTAAATTACCTGAATACACTAATCCCAAACTATATAACACGAATGCGTCAATTGATCCAATATTGCAACTAAGATGATTTCTCTACTGTAAAGAATGCTTCCTCACTTATTAGCAAACTCAGATTCTTTACATTTATAGGCATATCCAATCATTCGGATTCTTGCAGGCATTACAAAGATTCTATTGCCTTTATTTTGACATTAAAACTACAAAGAAGAGACTGGAAATAAAAATCTCAGATAATTCTGAAGACAGGGCTCTCAATGCTTCTGGGACGAACTAGTTAGCCATTGGCAGTGGGGTCTGGCCAACGACAATGTAGACCAGTTAAAATGGCTACAGGATAACTAGGTCCCTAAACTTCAAGTACTACCGCAGTTTTCTGTAAGCAGATTTGGATTCTCTCCTACACATATTGTTCTCCACTTCGGCCGCTCTTCTTTACAAAGGCCACAGTGGCAACACAAAACAAAACGCCACGAAGGAAAGCCGAGAAACCCTTCCTGGCTAACCAGGGAGAGCACAGCCCTGGAACAAACACAAGATCCCTCACTACGGGACCATCTCTTCACTGCGTGCTGCTATCTACTGCAAAGTGCCGTCACTGGAGAAGGCTAACTTCCCCACGGTATTTTAATAAGCTACTAAAATTATTCTAAATGTGTTAAGGGATTATTGTAGAAGTTGGATGATAAATGTATATGTCCTACCAGTTTCAGGTACAGCAAATGAATATATATTAGAGGGTTATGTGGGGTCCTGTTCAATGTTTTACAGGGTAGGAATAGATCATTTGAGTAAATTTATATTATCCTTTCTACTCCATAAAAAAATTGCTTTGAAAGAGAACATTTCCATTATTAACTGAAACTGGAAGGCCGTTTATGAATACTAATTTAAATCCCAGCTCCAGAAAATCTACACCAAAGCCTAGCCTCCCTGCCAGACAGAACTGCATAAATAAAAGTTAAAACAGGTCTTTGGCCTGAACACACGAGTCGTGACTGAGAGTCATTCAAATCTACTACTAAGAGGAAATGCTTACCAGAGAATTAGGAAACTTAATCTTCAATTTGGGAAGCACTTGGACAATTTCATC